ACTTTATGCCAATCCCATTGATATTTTGCACTTTTAAATTTTCCTATAACCTTCACGAATTACTTGCTGAAATTGGGCACAAATTAGCATTAAGTAATGATCAATATAAATGATATGTAATATTTACAGCCAACTTCAAAGCTTTAATATAAGTGACTATGTTATGGCTCGAATTTGTCTAAAACATTATCCTAAACATACTTTTAAAAAGTTACATGCTCAAGCTGCTTGACCTTTTTATATAGCAAAGAAATTAGAACCCAATGCTTATCTTTTAGAATTACCTCATGATTTGGCCATAAGTCCAATTTTTAATGTGAAGGATTTTACCTCATTGGGAAAATTTTAAGCCTCCCTTTTTGCTTTCTAATGATTTTGCATGTACTTAGTCTCCATAAGTGCCAATTCGAGCGTTGTCGTCTAACTTGCCATCAATCAAAGAAATTGATACCATTATGGATGATTAAATGGTCTTTACCTCTAAGGGGCCCCTACATCGTTACTTAATTCATTACAGAGGTCGGTCAAATGAAAATGCCACCTTGATTTTAGAAGATGAATTCCAATAACTTGATCTTGCCCTGTTAGAAGCCTATTAACTCTTTACCTCTCTAGAGGAGAGTTCTTTGATGCAGGGGAAATTGACAGGAAATGTGAAAAATATTAATTTAAAGAGAGATAATTAATAGCTTTATGTTAGTTTTAAATTACTTTTGATTGCTATTTTCCTTTTCAGCTAGTGGGAATATTTTATATGAGGTTCCCTCATGGGGGAAGAAACCTCACGCTTATAAATAGGATACTTTATATAACTTGGAGGTAAAATTGGATGAATGAATGCTTGAGAATTATGACTTTCTTGAAAGCCCCCCCTCTCCCTTTAGTTCTGTGTCATTCTTCTCCTCCCTCTCTTTCTCTTTTTTATGTCACTTCTCTCTCTTTTCTCCTTCTCTGTCCTCGCTCCCCCTTCACCTCTCTCACTTTGTTTCTGTCTGTACTTCCATTTCCTTTCCGTTTGAGCTAGTGTGTGTGTGTGTGTGTGTGTGTGTGTGTGTGTTGCATTATTATACTTCAAACCATATTTGTTTTGGTTTTGTTTTCCTTTGACTGAGATGTTTTTAATAATTTTTCATCATTATTTTGCATCAGATTTTACATTTTGACATTTCTTCTTTTGCTTTCATTCTGTTTAGCTTGGCTCAAGAACCATTGGTTATACTTGTCCCTATCTTTCTTATTTTCTTATGGTTGCAACAAGATGAAGTATGACGCACTTAGCTAAATGACTAGCTTGAACATTGTTGAAACCTTTTTCAGGTTTGTTTCGGTCAGAGCGTGGTTTTTGTCAATTTTCATTGCTAGGGTGTGTTCCTTTGTTGATAATGTTATTGTGGTGATTCTCACGTTGGTCTTAAAATAGTTGTTTCATTTATTTCTGGATCAAAATGTTCTAAAATGTTCTATGTTTCTGTTTATGTTGTGCCAACAATATGATGTCTTTCGGGATATTTGAATTATGATAATCGGATAGTGATAGTCATGAACCTATTTGCTGAGAAATTTTCTGCATCATGTTTGTCAAATTCCATTGTTTTTCTGGTTTCTTCCATGAAAATCTACAATTCTAGAAGTTGTCAAACATACATAAAGCTTTGGTGCGGCTTTCTCATGCTACTGTGCAAGCTATTATAGTTGCTGAGTTGAGGAACATTGTAGATCAATTGTTGAGGGTTTTAAGCCGCTGCCCCAAATTAAGAGAATCAAAAAGAATTTATCTATCTAAAGGTGTAGCAATTGGGTTGGGTTGGGTGTGTCTGGAATTTTATCTTAGTTTTTATTCACATTTTATTATAATTTTGTGAACCATCTTCGTTGAATCTATTTTCATATTATCTTTATGTACATTTTGAATGCAAACATATTACATTGGAATTGTACGGAAGTTTGCAAATTATCTCAAATGGATTTAGAAGCAAGGATATTTGATTCATGAACTTTTTTTGCCAGGTGTCACGGATTCACACTATCTTCATAGTTATGTACAAAAAATTCCAATGCTTTTCCCCCATATTTCTGACATATACTTTGGCCATTCAATTGGTGTTGGGATGACTATTATACTATGCTTTAAAAAGATAAAAACTTTGAGCATTTTATTTTCCTGGATATTCTTTTTCCTATTGATATCATTTACTCTTTCTTTAAGGATACAAATATGAAGAACATTAAGTATTTGTTTGAAGAACTACTGAAAATTAGGATTGGATTGTGTATTAGCGTGTTCATGTGTGCAAGATAAGGATTCTTTCTGGAACATAAACGTATGGACAAAGGAGTCTATCTGGGCACGCTTTAGTTGCTTTACTAGTAAGTTTTGATGAATCTTCAAATATATCAATAGGCTTTATCAGCATTGTGTCTTTCATATATGTTCTAGACTTCAAGCGTCATACCTCATGCTCCATTCTAGTACTTTCTTTTTCTCTACTTTGGTTGACAAGTTTCTTCTTTTTGGTTGGTGAAAAAAACTTGTGTGACTTTTGTTGTGCCATCAAAATAACTTGCTCTGCCGACAGTAAAGGGATTGCAAGTATTTATACAAGAATCCAAAGACCCACTATAGAAGGTACTAATTGAAGCATGTGCTCGACATCACAAAGTTCAAGGCAACAAAACAAGAAACATAATCCTAAGCTAGCTATTCTGCTAGCTAGTAGGGGTGTTCATGATGCTCAATTACCTGATATGCCCGCCCGAGCCCGGTTATGTTTTGCCCAACCCAGCCCAAAAAAAGTCCAAAATGTTCTGTACATGTTTGGGCTAGGCCATGTGCGGGCAAGGCCGGGCAGCAGGCAAGTCATGCAGCCTTGCCCATTTAGCCCAACTCGATTTTCCAAGATTTTTTTTTATTTTTTTGTTAATTTTTCTATTAATTTCTTGCTAACTTTTCTATGATTTCTTGCTAATTTTTTTAGTAAACTTATATATTATTGTTGTTAATTCTCTCATGTTTTGGTTCCCATTTTGCTTTAAATTTTCATGTATGTTCTTGCAATTTTTCTATTTAGTTATGACATATTTTTTCTCTTTCATTCATGCAAGTTGGGAATTGAGAAGAGGCTTTTTGTGAATTGGAGCCTACTCTTTGAAATTGTTGTTTCTCAGATGATGCTCCAAGCTTTTGTTATTTTGAATTATAGCTATTATTTTGAATTGAATTATGGATAATTTGATATTGTGCTAAGACTTGTGGTAGTTTTAGATTTCAAGTTAGATGTTAAATTATGGATAATTGAATATTGTAGCTATTATTGTGGATTTATGGTTTATGATTTTATGGATGCTATTTTGAGTTGATATATAGGGTCATTATTGTTGATTTGTAATAATTTTATTTTGAAATGATGAGAAGAGTTGTTATTTTATGAGCAGAGTAATTATTTGATGGGTTGGGCGGTCCAAAGCTGCCCAACTAACCCTACCCAACTCAAACTAATAAGGTATTTTTGCGGGCAGGGTTGGGCATCGAGCTACATTTTGCATCCCATTCATTCTTTGGGTTGGGCATCGGGCAAGGTCTTGCCCAACCCAACCCTACCTATGTGCACCCTTACTAGCTAGGTATGATGATAAGTATCTTGACTACTCTAAATAAGCTACTTTATTTGATAGAATATCAGAGACATGCAATATTTGTGATTGTGCTTGGAGTATGAACAGTGGAGCTAAAGGAAGGAGAGGCAAGGTCAACTTGTAGAAGTTAAGCAATATTTTAATGAGCATGCTGATTAAAATATATTATTATTTTTAGAGACCATAATTTTATTTCAGAAGCTAAAATATATTTTGCTATATTTCGAAAGTTCTATGCAATTTGTTTTTATAAACAACGTCATTAAAATTCTAATTTTGACTATACATGTCTAAAATTTTGCCAAATTCAGGTGTGGAATGAAATTTTTTAGAGGGGCACGAGTTTATTTTAAAATGGGAACATAATTTTTTTTTTTTTATGAACAAAGGAATGCTAATTTGTTATAACGAGAGACATTTGTTGTTTCTTTATATTTATAGAATCAACAATTATTAAGGCATTGCATTGAAATAATTTGAGAGAATACTTTAAAATGAAAACACAATCCTTAGGATATCAAACCCCTAAACCTAATTGAATAATAAACTTTAAGCTCGTCTAATTTATTTTTAGAAATTGACCTAATTGAATGCTCTATATAACTGAGTCCCTGACAAAAGAAAAGAATACTCTATGTACCAAATTCAATTAGCTTTAATTTTTTAATTTAGGGATAATTTTGACTAATATTTTTAAACTTTTAATCACTCTATTCATATGCAATGAAATCTTCCCGTGCATCGCCTCAAATGCTGACAAGTGTATTCAAGCGTGCTGATATATCTATCTATATATATATATACACGCTCCTTCCATTAAAAAATGTGAGATATTTTTTAAAAAATTAAATGTTAAAAAATGTAAAATATTTTTAATTTTTTAAAATATAATCATTACTTTTTTTAAAAAAAAATACTCCTATTAATAGACTTTATATTTATTATGAAATGTTTAATAAGAATAAATATAAAAAAATAAAATTAATTTAAAAATAGATAACTACTCTATTAAAAGATGAAATTTAATTAAAATATCTTATATTTTTGTATAGAGGGAGTATAACTTTGTGAATAATGTACTTTTATATTCAAATAAAAAAGTAGTTACACATTCAAAGAGACGAAAAAAATATAACTACGCAAGTAACAAGCATTTTTCATCGAACGCTTGGCTTAATTTATTTCCAATCTCTGAACCTTTGTGACTACAGAAAATTTGAGTCAAACTATACAGCCAGTGTTCTTCAGAGAGTTTTCATTCCTGCTTTGGTCCTGTCAGATAACAGCCTACAGGCCAAATCCTTGCCAGAAGAGAAAGACATACACATTGGATAATGTTCGGTACTTGCAAATGTGTTTTTCAGAGCTAATGAGAAATATATCCTCGTTTCCTTTCTGGAAAACAATTTTCTACAAAAATATCCCTAGTTTCTGGCAAAGAAAAGGAAACAGGGCATTTAAGATGCTCATTCGTCATAACATTAGTGAAGAGCACCAAGTTTGATCAAAACTGGACACAATAATCATGTAAGAAACTGGAGAGAATCGATGAAGGGAACCTGGCAATATCAAGCTGGCAACATATAGCATGATCCGGTTTTCTAGTTAGCAGACAAAATCCTATACAAGATCTGGTATTCATGCAATCTTACTAGTAATAGAAGTCAAATCAGAAAGAGAACCGAGCAACTTCTTCATCTTCATCCTCATCTATAACATCATCGTCTTCAGTATATCTCTCCATATCATCATCAATTACCTCATCCTCTTCCTCCTCTACCTCATCCATCAAGCTTTCACCCTTTGTTTCCTTTCCCTTTAATCCAGTGCTCAAGACTACAGTTTGTCCACCAGATTTCTCCATATCCCTTCTCAATTTATCCATGTTCTCCTTCCTGCGCTCTTCCTCCAGGCGCTGCTTCTCTGCTCGCCTTTTATCAAGATCAGCCCTACAAGTCGCAGAGAATACAACACAGTTTATTTAATGGCAATGACTATATATAAACTCAATGGTACTTTAATGAATGTAACTAATGAATGATTTGTCAAGCTCAGACAATACTTGTAGCTTTCCATGTATTCCTCTGCACTGGCTTCAATGGCCTTAAAGAAGGCGTCAATTCCTGCACCAGACACTGCAGAAACTCCAACAGACCTTAGATTCTTGTAGAACTCATCTAGCACGAGAGAAAGGCTCTGAGTTAAAGTTGATGTGTAAGAGTGGTCTGAACTCATTGCTACTTGGAATGCCTCAAAATCCTCCATCCACTACACACATGAATTCAACACAAGCCATCCATAAATTTTGAACTTAAGAAATGTGTAGCAGCTTTGATCGTCCACGGGATGAAGCACAGAGAGCCAAGACATAAAATAAATAATAAATTTCTGTACTAAACCTTCTCCAACAATATTCCTTTTCCACTTTGCCTAAATGTAATTTTAGCATTTATTTAGGCCATTTATACACTAAGTGAAGGCCAGCTGCCAAAATTCAAATCCTACCCATACTGGACAGAGAAACATTTTTTTTTTTTTTTTACCTCAAAGCAGAGAAAGAAACTAAGAGCTACATAAACCACTTTTACTGCAACGCAAGGCTAATGCATGAAAGACAGAAGAAATGGTAGTGAAATGATTATACAAAAGATAGCATGGTTTCATTGGGGATTTCAAAATTTCTTCGCTTATTTGTACTCAGTATTTATTAGTTGAGCATCATTTAACAGTCTTGGTTTTTTTTTTTTTTTTTTTTGGGACCAGATTTAACAGTCTTGGTTTTGAACCATCCACTTTTAGTAGAGAAGCATTCAGGCAATTAATAGAATTAGCGAATTACAACATCAGAAACAATATTCACTCATCTCCAGGCTTGAAGAACCTAATCTCAAGGTACATGATCTGCACTAAAAGCTAACGTTCAAGAATTCATTAAAGATGGGCAATACCTCCAAGGCAAACTGATGCTGTGCCACATCAATCTTGTTGAATGCCAAGATGAGAGGTAAGCGTGTCTTGTAGAGGATACTACAAGCATAAAGCATGTTGCTCATAAAAGTAGTGGGATTTTCAGATCGAGGTGTATCAACAACATAAGCTACAACAGTGGGAAATGTGGAGGCAAAAGCTTCTGTGATGATAGCACCAGAAGCAGACCAGGTGAATATTTCAATCTGACCAGGGGTATCTACAAGAACATAATCAAGTTCATCCGCTCGCTTTTCAATGATAGAAACTACCTGAAATTTAGCAATAGAAAACACCAGTTACACAAAATCAGCATGACTTAAAACCAAAGGGCAAAAAATGCTTGACGGAACCATGTACAGATCTTAAGGCCTAGAATTTAAGATTATAAGCACCCCCCAATCACATTCTCCAAATAAAAAAAAAAAACTCCAGATGGGGAAAAAAGGACCCACGAAAGGTGAAGTTGGCACGGCCCCCTAACTAGTGATAAAAATAACCCATTGCATAACATGTTCTCGCAATTTGAGGTAAAACTTGAAAGGCAGTTACTACAGAAGAAGACAGAATGAGATGCATCCATTTGGCAAAGAAGCTCATTTAGTTACCCACAAAGTTTACCTCATCAAACTTGGTAGCAAATAAGTTGAGCGATGTCAAAATTCCACCATTTGGACCAAGGTTGAACTGCTTCATGACTTCCTTGTACTTAACGGTGTCTCTTATGTCAATGTTGGCACCAAACGGGAGCGTCATGACAGCAGGATCAAGATTCATCACATAGCCCCTAATGTTCGACAATTGTGTGTGGCAAACCAAACGATGGAGAAACGTTGTTTTCCCACTCCCTAAACAGATAAGAGGTTCACCTTGAGTCTTTTAACAAGAAAGAGAGACAAAATATCACAATTCAGGAAATACTAACTATAACAAGTAAATTGAATCACCTGCCATTCCAATAACTAAGATTATGACTGGCTTCCTTTTGAAATTAACTGATGAATTCCCAGATGACGATCCTTCAATATGCAGCTGCTTCATTGTCTCAGTTAGCTCCATTTTCTTTCTCCTTTGCCTTCAAAATAAATAGCAATGAAATTACATAAATTTTACTGAAAATTCTTAATCTCCAAGCTAAATCTTCTAAAAAGAGTGTTACGGCAAGTATTTTTAGATAGTTACGCCTTAGGGCATCATACGCCAACTTAGTGTGATGTCAAACCTTCTAAGCATAAGAACTTCAATAGAGTCATGAATTCAGGCTCCTCTTCTAATTTCACTCGTTTTCTACAACATAAAGAACGCCTATGAAGGAAAAAGTAAGTTTCAAGTGAGTGAACACCAGAAGAGTCATCCATTTTGGACTGAAACTATCATGTATTGTTAAGGATGCAACACTGTGAGATGAACTCTTTGGCCTCTACGTTCCGAAGCAGAGATGGTTGATATAGGGTCATTCCTTTTAGCTCTCGTGGGTCTCTCGAGTCTCTCCCCAGCAATTTTTCATACCGAAACCGAGAAAGAAGAGAAAAATTTTCATACCTCCTCCCCGATGCCCACCTGTGCTTCGTGCCACTGCCGCCGCGCTCCACCGCGCTACCGCCGCTGTGCTGTGCTGCGTAGTGGTTTGCTCTTTTTCGACCAGTGTTCAAGGGAGAGAGGGCGCGTGATATTTGATCGCGCAAGTAGGGTTACTTTTGATTCGGGCTGCCTTTGATTCCAAGGAGGGGCAATCTTGTCAATAAAATTCATAATTTAGGATATTGTTGTCTGAAAATTTTCAATTCTAAAATTAATAGATATAACTAGGGCTTGTTTGGTTTGCTAAAATTTAGCTTTGAGAAAAGGAAAAGAAAGAGGAAGAGAAAATTGAAAATTCCCTCACTTGGTTGACAAGAATTTAGCTTACCAAGAATCAAATTTTAAAAGAGAAAATTAAAATTGGGTTTTCCAATTATAGACAAGGAAAATTTTAGAAGGGAAATTTTTTATTTTAGCCAAGATGCCCTTTTATCATTCTTTTCTCCTGTACCACCTCTTTGACTTTCTTGGTCTAACAACCATTGTCATCCCTCATCATCACCCTCTTCATCATCTTCTCTAATTGTCACTATTGGGTTGTACATAAAGTTAAATAGGCGCAAGGTTGGGTTCAATGGGTCTAAGTTTGAAGAAGAAGAAGATCGCCAGACACTGAAGCTAGTGGTTTGGGTTCAATGGTCAAGGTTTCAAAGAAGAAGTAGATCGATGTCTATTATTGAAGCTATGGGTGTCAAGCTCGATGGATTTAGAGTTCAAAGAAGAAGAAGACTGACGGAGGTTTGATGGTTATGGGGTTCAAAGAAAAAGCACATCATCGGCCATTATTGAAGCTGTGGGTTTTAGATTCAATAGGTTCAAAGAAGAAGAAGAAGATTGGCAAAGGTTTGATGGCTTTGGGGATTGAAGAAGAAGAAAATTGATTAGTTGTAATGTATTGATTTATTGTATTTTTAGAATGAGACAGCTACAATTTTTTTTAATGATGAGATTGATGCAGACGTCGATGTATAGAGAGGAAGAATGGTGGGGAAGAGGGCATAGATAATACTGTCTTTTCATATTTTAAAATTCATTTCAATGATATACTCAAAAAACATTTCTGCCCATTTTTTCAATCATATCAAATATACTTTCAAAATTCATTTCTATTTCCTTTTCCAGTTCTAATTCCATTTCTTTTTCTAGTTTTAATTCCATCAAAAGGGTTCTAACAAACCAAACAAGACGTTTAAAGAGCCCAATTCTCCTAAATTTAATAAAAGTGAGTTATATGTTATCAAACAATTCAATTTTTAATTCTATTTTTATTTTCACTTCTCAAATTTTAATTCCATGATACCAAACATAACATTAACTTTGAAGAACCAAAGGTCAAGACTCAAATTTATCCTTAGCCCCTTTGGCATATTTGACTAATGTTTGACTACTATATCGGTATTAAAGCTTTGGTGGCTAGTTGCGGTGGTCCTGTCATAGGCAGTGACAACCTCTCACTAGGGATGAAGTTTTAGTGGCTAGTGCAGTGGCTTCAATGATGAGGGCAGGGATGCTTTTGTTTCCAAGAAAAAAGTAGGGATATTTTAGTACTTGATGCCTAAAATGTTATTACATTAAAGGACCTTAAGCTTATAGTGTATTTTCAAAATGTGTTAAACCTCAATAATAAATAAATTCATTTGGAGAGTCCTTAATGAAATTCTCAGCCTCTCTATTATATCTTAAAGCTTCGCTTGGCATGAGCGGATGAGTGATGAGGGGATGGGAATTGATAAAAGATAAAGAATGACCATTTAGGATGTTTGGCGCATGAGAGAGCTATTCCATTAACTAGAGAGATGGTCAATGTTCCTTAGGGGTTGGGAGTGATTTTTCTTTTTCTTTTTCTTTTGACCAAACTATCATTTTTTGTTCATAATTTTTTCACTCAAAATTACCCTTCAATTTTTTTTTGCTCTCTACTTCTGTTGTTTGCTACTCCACCTTTGTAGACTTCCCTCTCTATCTTTGTCAAAAATAGGCACTATGTATCCTTTGTCATCATTAACTTCTTCTTCCACCTTCGTCGATTTCTCATGCTCTTCCTTCATCAACCTTTCCCTCCGCCCTCATTGGCAATCTAGTCTCATTTGAGTTTGATGGTGAGGTTGACAATCTCATGATTTTCTTAGATTATTTGTCATTTGATTCTTTGTCGTTCAATTCTTAAACAATATTTGTCCTTCAATTTTCATTAATTTGAACTCCTAGTTTTCTAAGTTCTTCAATGAATTTTTCTAGGTTTGTTGTTCAATTCAAGATTTTGCTATCCCAACTTCTATTCCTAGGTTCATGAAATTTGATTTCGATTCTACATCATTGAGCTTTTATTTTAATTTGGGTCCATGAAATTGGATTTTGGTTCCATATGGTTGAGCTCCTATCATGTCAATCTTTATACATAGTAGTCCTAGCAACAAGGCTCAGTGGGTGGTGGTAGTTTTGGTCATGATTTAAATCAAATCTTTCCACATACCAAACATGATGTCATAGGGCACTATTCTTAGCTAACCCTTAAAAATACATCCAAACTATATTTAGGATATATTTTTGTCAAAACCAACAAATAGTTGAATTTCCTAAATATACTTTTATCACTAAAATTCAAATAATATCCCAAATTTTATTAGGTCTTGGATTTTCTTATAAATGATTGACAACTTCATTAAAATTAATAACAATAAGATCTCATGTAAGTATGTAACATCCCAAATTTATTCTTGAATTTAAGTAATAATAAGAATGGATTATTTCATGGTAAAGGAAAATTACCATGTAATCATTTAAGTAAAGAAAATTTATCTAAAATAGGTTAAATTTTAGTTATAATATCAATAAGGGACTTCTAAAATAAACCATAATAGAAAGGAAAATATTTATAATAAAAGTCTATTATGGCCCAATTACTTAAGACCAATCTTTTTAAAAGCTTAATATACACAACTATAGTAGAATAAATTCCATTGTAGTAGAATTGCTCAAAATCAAGTAAATTAAACTCATTGAAAACCTAAATAACCAAACTCAATTAAAAAATAATAATAACAAAGATAGAATCCTAAGTTTGAATAACTGGAACACATTAATTTTAAGTAAAGGCTAGTTTAAAATAGAGTTATAAATAATACAAAAATATGTGATATTGATTATACTTGAAGACCTTTGCAAATAGGTTAGAAAAGTCATTTTCACACGAGTCATTCTTAAATCATAGTTTTTCCCATCCATGAATCCTTAGTTTTTTTATCAACTTTAAACTAGTCTCCTCAATAAACAAGTAAAGACAAGCTATGTTAAAGTCCCTCAATAAAATGTGGGACAGTTTCTTAGCAAACAATAGGACGAGTGGCTAACCATTAGTTACCAAATGGCAGCCATACCATATTGATTTATCGCTATTCCTCTCCCTAAGGTGAACTCCCCTTAATCATCGTCATGAGATATACACGTGTTTGATACATTAGCATGCCATTTCTAGCATTCATCATGCTCAAACACAAATAACATATCTCATTCCTCACTCCACATTCCACACACTCATAATCACAACACATCACATAATCTCATTGAAAATTTACTATATTCAAGAATCAACAAACTTCTTGTTTATGCAATGTAACATCCCAAAATTTTAGTTATGTTATTTAGTTTATTCAAAGGACTAATGGATAGAACTTACTTTGGATGAAAACTTGAGAAGTAAGAAAGGAAAAATGTAATGACTCATCTTAGTAAAATAAGTTAACTAAGCTAATCAAGCCATTGTTTGATGGGTTATTCAAAGGAACAAGTGATTTTACTTTTAGATGGGACCTTATGTATTTTAAAATAGGCATTTCAAGCTTTTCATAGAGTCCTAATTTATAATTTTTAAAGGTCTGTGAAATAAATTATGAATTTTTAAAGTTTATTAAAAATGGGTGTTTCTCACATAATTTTCTGTGAGAAATTCTGTGAGAAGTGTCAATTTTTTTTAAAAAGGGACATTAGTAGAACGTATCAGATGCAAAGAACATTAAAGAGAAAGTGGGTTGCTCTGCTAGGGCACAAAATTTCCATCTCAAGGCTTGTTTTGAAGAATCTAATCATTCCTAATCATCAAAGTGAGGTTTTATCTTCAATCCACTATTTTTTTCAAGTTTCACCGGTTGGTTTTCTTCGTTCACTTAAATCCAAAAATATGGCTAAAAATCTGCTATGTTTGAGTTGTTTGGTAGTTAATTTATGCTCTTGGGAGTTGATTAGAGATTCTCTTTTTAAAATTTTAATGGTGGGAACTTAAATGTGTCACTTTAGCTCAAACCTTATGTGCTCAAGAAAGGGGTTTTAATTTTTAGAGCTTTTTCTCATTTGAGACTTGTAATTTGAGATTGGATAACATAATAGAGCCTATTGGAATAAGAAATTTAGCTTGGATTATAAGCTTGGAGGATGCTTGAATTTTGCTGGAATTTATATCCGAATTTTTATGGAATTTTTGTTGGAGCAAATAGGATGTTGTGTGAACAAGAGATTTATTTGATTGGAAACTTTAGATAACAAAGAAGTTTTGTTTAAAGTTTCATGGTGTTTGGAGTTGATTTGGTTTATCATTTTGAACTTGAGATTCTTACTCTGAAAATTTGGAAAAAAATGCTTATAAGATGGAAATAAAGGCCATTGATGGAAACTAGTAGTAAACTTTTGTTGTTGGGCTTGTAGGCCTATCTTGAGCTTATTGGTGGATTTGAGTTGGAGATTGGTATCTATTTACTCTGGTATTTCTAGTTGTGGTTCCCCTTCTAACATGAAGGTTAAGGGTAACTAGGAATTTATTTATTTTTGTTCTTAATTGCCAACAATTATAAATGTATAAAATTAATGATAATTAAATATAGTGTTAAATAAAATTATGAATATTCCTATGATCATGGAAGATTAAATATGCTATGGAATTGAGATTGAATATATATATATATATATATATTGTTATACTATTCTAGCTGTATTATGTTGTTGATATCAATTATGAATTCTTCATTAACACGTGGTAATGGTGCATGACTCTAAACTATTTCACCTATAGTCGGGTGGTAGAAGAAGCATGTGGCTAGTTGTTAGCCTACTTTACTAAACCAT